TCAACCTGAAATACCTCTGCATCCGCACTAACCAGCCAAACACATCTTTGCCATTAAAAAGTGGTAAGTCAATTTTTCTGCCAACTGGAATTGGACGCCTGTAATTGCGATGCTGCTCGCGTTTGATATGCGACATCGAATACTCTGATTGGTGATCGGAATCCTCTGAAGAGTCATCGTCCTTCATATGTTGATGTCGGACTGTATGATGCGACGATGTAGAAGGACGCGATCTACTTCGCGATCGATTCGTCTTTTGATTTCTCAAATCGGCAAATCCAGCTTGCATCATCGCCAGTAACTCCTCATACTTTGCCTTCGATTCATCGATCTTCGCATCGATCTTCGCACCAAGTTCCTTCTGACCTCGATCCAAATTCTTTTCCAATTCTGCTATTCGTCCTTCCATTTTCTTCTTCCTCGTGCCAACCATTCACAGCTTCAACCAAGGCTCTGATACCAATGATAGGATCCTCCAATTATCCAGAACAATTAACAGAAATTTAACAAGAAATCAACTGAAATTCTTTATTGAAGAAGATGAACAGTACAGTAACCTAGGCCGAAGCCTCCCAAAAGAGAAGAGAAAAGAATCCTCTAATCTTTCCCAGTCCCAAACTAAAAGTCCCAAAAGCCTCCCTAACTCCTCCCAGCTCTCTTCTATTTATACTAACTAATACACTTATTGGTTTATACTCTAATAGGCCCGGTCCCTTATTATTATTATTAGTCTATTAGGCCCGGGTTCCTATCACTGTGACTACGGTCACACTATCACCCCATTTGATCCCTCAAAGTGATAAGTGATAACCTTGTTTCAATAGTTGAAAGTTTGAAATCCTAATTTTCCTAGGATTTTTTTTTGTCATTTTGCAAGTGCACATTAAATTGTCGCTTTTAATGCATGCACAGCTTGTGAATATGCCCTTGGCTAGTCAAGTTGTGTAGCTCATTCTGTACATCTGATAGGAGCGTGTTCGAAATTTCTGATGATCAGTAAGCGTAGAGCTTCCCATGAGGCCAGCAACAGAACAAAAAATTCATGTAATGGGACACTTCGCGTCAATTGCAATTGACTTATTGCAATTGACTTTTAAGGAGTTTCATTCTCCTTGATCTCTTCTTAATTATTTCTTGGGTACTCTGTATATTATTAGCAATATAATGCTCCCCCTTAATAATAGGTATTGTATGCATAGAAATACCTAAAAGAAGAAAAGGAAGAATGACAACCCAATCACATCCTAAAACAGGTTAAGTTTATGACGGTATTAAAATCAAACTAAAATTTAAAAACAAAAAAAAAAAACAAATTAATAAGCTATCCATCTCCACAACTTTCTACGTGACTGATTTTCTATCTTTTCGACATCTTATAATGTAGTGCATCAGCCTCACCCATTTCGGCATAGAGTATAGCCATATAGCCTCACGGCACAATAGTGTTAAAAAAGTCTGTGGCACACCTCAAGGTGCTATGGCATCACGCAATTTCAAACATTGGTCCCGAAGACTGAACTCTAACTTTATCCCACCATATGGCTTTATTAAATGATTTTCACTCTACCATTAACCAACCAGATATGCCGTTATAAAATCATTGAACTGTGTAGCTTTAGATGCAATCGTAGTATATATTTCTAGAAATTTAGGTGACACTCTTTCATCAAAATTATTAGCAATTGCCTTTTCAATGGGATAGTTCGGTGATATTTTGCCATTGTGCCGAAGCAATGCTGATTTTAGCTTCTCCCCACATTTTAAAGGTTGCACTTATGCGTGAGTGGTATATATTCTTATATAAGTTAACCCATATGGATAAAACAGGGGATTTTTGTTAGGTACACAGATTTAGTAACAATAGATCAATCAATATTATTGAGCTCAAAAGGCGGAAACAATGAAGAAGATACAAGACAGGGCACTTCGAGAGGCCTCTACTCTCCAGAACCGAATTCCCAATACAAAAATCTGCCTGCCTTCTTATTTCTCCCTCCCTACTATTTATACTTACTTATGGGTCAGCCCAATATTAACTAATACCTAGCCCAGGACCCTTTACTACAATATCACAATTATTTATTATACTTCTATTATTATACTAATGGGTTCCTATCATATCTCCCCCCTTGAAAAACCACCTTGTCCTCAAGGTGGGTGATAGGACACAGCCTTGATCTTGAACTTCATCTTCATCCTGGACCCTCTTCCTTCCCAGTATCTCCCAGCTTGCTTGCCCATGACCTTCATTACTTGACCTTTCATCTTCTCATCTTTAACAGCCAACATGGGCAGAAACTGCATATAAGAACTCCCTGGGATGACACTTAAAGCCTCATCTTTGTAACAAATGTCATCATATAAAGGTTCTGCAAGATAAAATCCAGCTGCCCTTGTAGTCACTTCAGCTGCTACATAATAGAGAACAGCAGCAAATTGCTTACCCAGATCTTCATCATAATTCAGCAGTCTCTCACATAAGGCAAACATAATATGAGGAGTTTCAGCTTTAAATGGAGCAAAGAACCATCCATTTTTTACAGCAAGAGGCATGATTGAAGACAATGATTTCACTGGAATAGGTCCAAAAATCTTGTCAAGATTCTGAAATGTGATAACAGCACTGAACTTGTTTATTGCATGCATTTTTCTTTCATCAATGTTATCAAAAACAAATTCATCAAATGAAATTATCTGTGGATCATCCTGCACCCAAGATTTTGCCAAGGTATTCGGGAGTATTATCACACAATCACCCAAATGATCATGGTCCTGATTTTCAGCATGAACAACATCCTTCTCCAACCTTCTTCTATTAGTCAGTATGTAAACCATGTTATCAAAACCTACACCTCCATCTAGCAAAAGAATATAAACTGGTGTCATTCCCTTGGCCTTTTCAGCAATCGTTCTGGCATCAATGGTGGTTTCGGAGCCCTCATAGACTGCTGCTGATTCCTTTTCCTCATCAGTTGGCCATTCTGATAGTGGCCTACTGTCAACCCTCGTCTTACACTCTTCAAAGTAGAGATCTAATTGTCGGTGTGGACTTTCCAGAACCTCAACAACTTTATCCCCCAAACCAGTACATGTCTCGTGATCTGCTTACTTCTTCAGAATGTTTTCCTCATCTATTTTCTCAATCTCCTCTTTACAGGCAGTCCAGACACCAAAATCCAGAGAAATGGTTCTCACAATGTTTTGAGTAAATCCCTTCTTAGCCACAACATAATTCGTGTTCATGCCATGAACACCAGCAACGGAACCAACTACCAAAATAGGACCCTGAGAAACAAATAGGTGTTCAGCAATTGCGCTAGCTTTAGGGACAACTTCAACTGCTGTTTGCTCTTCGCATATGTAGTCTGGATTCGATTCCATGATTACAGATTCATCCGGCTTCGACTCAGATTGTGGAGTTTGTAACAAGGAAATTTGTGCCTGGTGAGAGAAGACTAGCGACGACGAGTTGTGAGGAATGGCGAGTGAGGAAGCATGCGAACTGGAAACATCTGCTAGCGATGAAGTCTGTGAAATTGGAGAAACAGCTTGTGGAGAAGATAGTAAGCTGGAAGAAGATTTTGGCCAGGAAACCTGCGAACAACTGAGGGAGTCAACTTGCGATGATGAACTGTAAGGAGAAAGCTGAGAATTGACTGGCGAAGTGGAAAGCGGTGCTGGCAATTGATGTGACATCTGCGAACGAGTAGAAGGGACTGGCCACGGCGATGATGAAGTTGGCAATTCGGAAGAAGAAAATCGCGACTGCGATCTGGGGAAACTGGTTGGCGAAGTCGATCCGTGATGAGAAGAGACCGGCGCAGATCGCGAATCAGAAGGCCGACGTCGAGATCGAAGCTGTTCGCTCATCGCGGCAATGGATACCGCCATGTTTGCCGCCATGTTTGCCACCATGTTCTTCATTGCTGAACAGTGATCTCTCATCTCTGCTTTCATCTCCTCTATAATGCGTTCCATATTGTCAAAACTCTTCTCCATTCGGGGAGTCATATAGACTTCCTCCATAGTTCCAGAATGTTGTTGCTCTGATACCATTGTTAGGTACACAGATTTAGTAACAATAGATCAATCAATATTATTGAGCTCAAAAGGCGGAAACGATGAAGACGATACAAGACAGGGCACTTCGAGAGGCCTCTACTCTCCAGAACCGAATTCCCAATACAAAAATCTGCCTGCCTTCTTATTTCTCCCTCCCTACTATTTATACTTACTTATGGGTCAGCCCAATATTAACTAATACCTAGCCCAGGACCCTTTACTACAATATCACAATTATTTATTATACTTCTATTCTTATACTAATGGGTTCCTATCAATTTTGCACGACCCCATCAATTTTGGGATTATATGCTTGGAAGCCATGAAAATAATTTTGCACAGCAAATACTAACCAGATTAAGGAATGATAACTCTTTTGTTTTAACTTTTAAGTTTTTAACTACTAAAGTGCAACAGTACAGGATATACATGAAAAGGAACTTCAAAACATATACTGCATTATCCTCTATATCTTAGTTCTAGGATGAAAACATATCTCTAAGAATCAAATATAAAAGTGATCTCAGATATAGAGGATAGCATGTGACAACTTTCAGTGCACAAACACTAGAGACCTACTGACCTAAGCATTTTAAATCTTGCATTTCTAAAGCAAAGTTATTTGACACTGCCACATCACAGATTACAAGTTTACGACTAAAGTGATATTGTGACATTAAAAAGATCAGCAAAACAAAGCAGTGTTATCATGAGTACATCAACTTCTGAAATTTAATTTTTAGTAAAAAGTTAAAGTACTTCCTTTTTGCAGTTTTGCTTTGCAGCAACATTTTATTTCTCAGACAAAATGGCAAAAAAGATCAGTTCATGTCAAGAACAGATGAATGCATTCACTGCAAGTGTGGGATAGAGATATATTTACGAAGATTGAATTGGTACTAATTAAAACAGGAACTAAAATCTAAAAAATGCTTTACCTGCAATGCTAAGCCATAACCCCCGGTTGTATCTTGTTCAAAATAAAGCAGCTGAAAATTATACCAAATACAGCTTTAGGATCACAATGCAACAGCTGCAAGTAACATCGTGTGCATGCACAATTGCACAGACACAAAAATGAAACCTCATAAAAGATCTTTATTATCATGTTTGTTAGACAGTTATTTACCTTAAATTTGCTTTGAGCAGCTGAACTTGCTCTAACAACAATCCCTGCTGCAGCTTGTTCTTCACTAATTGTTACACCAAAAAAATGTGCTTGTTGCTTTTCTACCTGTTTGAGAACGTATTTAGCAACCACTATTTTAAGAATCAGTTTAGCCACTAAATATCTCTAGACCAATTCACTATTAAGGAAGCTATGACTCAACTAAGTACTTCTTGTAGACTTGTAATCTTGCATACTACAACCCTGGTTTAGTGCTTTTAGGCAGGCCAGGTGTCTAATTAGGCCTCACTTGGTGCCCAATGGCCAATGGGTGCCTAGTGCTTCTGGAACACTGTAAGCAACTAGAAAACCGAAAAATGATAAGACTTATCCATGGTTGTCATGGTCGCCTAGTCTGTCCTGGCGATGGGGCAGCCACGCAATGCTTGATCGACTCACCTGAAGTCGCTGTCACAGGTCGCCAACACAGGTCTCTGTTGCGGGTCGCCAACAAAGGTCGCTGTCGCTGTTGCGAACACTGATTGTGTCACTTGTCACCGATGCAGACTCCTTGCTCTGTAATTCTTCACCGCCCTCGTTCTTCGGTATGTTTAGATCAAAGTCTGGACTTTTACTTTGCAGCTGTGCCCGATAGCTCCTTCTTTTTGCCACTAAGCCATTCTTTTTCTCTCTTTGTTTCTCTCATTTTTGTGGGTCAATTGACTCCAGCTGGAGGGTTCGACTACGTCTTTCCTTCTTGTGTTTTGGACTACAGGACATATTCTATTTTAACAGCTGATTTTTTTAAAGAGCTGAATTTCTTGTGTTATTTATATTGAATACTTTATAGGAAAAATTGAAAATAATAATCCTAACTATTGTCGGTCCGTTGACAATAATCCCAAATATTGATTATTTTTCTATAATCCCAACTATATGGATCGTCCGCCAATAATGGTCCATGGCAAGATATTAACTCCTATAATAAGTGAATTTTAAATAGAAATTAAGTGTAAAAATTAAATGTTAGGATTATTTATAGGGATTACTTGCTATATCTCTTCTCATCCACTTTAGAAACTACATGAATTTATTTATAGGGACCATTATTGGCGGAAGGTCCTTAAAGTTGGGATTATTCTGAAATAATCGATAGTTGGGATCATTATTAGCGGACTGCCAATAGTTGAGATTATTACTGTCAATTTTCCTACTTTATATTACCTAAAAATTTAACTTGTCAGATTTAGTTCTTGATGATATTAAAATTTACAGTTTAAATGTTATTAATACTTGATAGTTGATACTTATTTGAGATGGATATTAAACTCTTGTTTTGATTTACTTAGCTCTTGCAATATAAGTAATACATTAATACATAGTATATAATATAACACTCCGTATAATTTATACTACGTAATATATTATTTTATAATACATTAATACATAGTATATAATATAACACTCCGTATAATTTATACTACGTAATATATTATTTTATAATACTTAAATACTATATATGCCGCAATATGTTGCCTAGTTGTCGCCTAGGCGATAAGGCGGTCGGTTGGCGCCACGCCTCGCCTTGCCGCCATAACAATCATTGACTTATCTAGTTAGCATGAAAAAAAAAAAAAAAGAAGAGTGCATTACCTTCGTACTGCATGATGTACCAATTGGCAAAGGCCTAATTGTGACAGTACCATTAAGAGCTTCTTCAAGAACATTTGCCGAAATAGTAGTCTTGATAGGAACACCTAATTTGCTATCAAAAATAAAAATGTGTCACCCATAAATATCAAGAGCACTGCAGATATAAGATCTATGACAAAAGATTACCTGAACAGTGCTGCAAACATTGTATTCACAGTACCAAGGTTGGATAGGTCAACTTCCATATCCATTCCATCGGCATCCAGAGCCTAATACATTAAGGGTAGAAGCACAGCCAAAGTAGTTAGGAAATTAAGATCCTAGGGGAGTTACTATAAGAGCATACATAAAACAGTAAGATAATGTAAAACTGAGCAGGAAATGACAATGAGTAGTACGAGTCATAGCGATCAGTAAAGCTAACATATATTCCTTATATTTTGCAAGCCAAGAAACAATTGAAAAATAGAATCAACAGAGCATACAATACTAGACCAGGATGTTGTTAGAAACACGTTAAGGAGATCGACATTTTCAGTTATTGCAAACAAATACGTACAAGCCAAGTAGCATCAAGTTATTGAATAACATCAGTATTGCTAAGAATCTGTAAATCTATTACTACAGGGTACTTTCTTAGTTTATTCTTTTTCCTTCACTTTATTAGTGTTGAGTAGATTGGTCTCCGTCGTAGTTAAAAGCATAGGATGCATTTATAATTTTATATTGCATTGGAAAAGGCTCATTTTTGCAGCTGCACCTCCACAAAAGTTTGATAGAGCTCTAACCAAAAGAAGTAGACTAAAGCCTACAGGCACCCACATTGTATCCGTGGCAAGGCGTGGTGCCTGAGAACCGCCTTATCACCTAGGCAACAAGCTCCCATATGTGATATTTCATATTTGAATATAATAATATAATATATTACCGAATATATTATACTACCTCCGTCCCAAAAAGAAGTTCCCACTTTCCTTTTATAAATGTCCCAAAAAGTTCTCATTTCTATTAAAGGAAACCACTTCTAAGCAAAAAGTGACAACTACCCTTTCTTTTATCTACTTTTTGCTTCATTTGGCATAAAGTAAGGGTATACTTGGAAAGTCAAAACAAAATTTAATCTTACATGAATATGTGTGTAGGTCAAAATGGGAACTTCATTTCGGGACGGAGGGAGTATCAACTTATTAGTACTATAGTAGTATACTCTACCATAAAATATATATTTCTTCCATCTCAAAATGAAGTTCCCACTAGGGCTGGCAATATCACCCGCACCCGCAGATACCCGCTCAACCCGAACCGAAAATATGGACGAAAACCCGAAGAAGTATGGATGAAAAATGGATGATGGGTGGATTGAAAGAGGGTGGTGTGGATGAACACTCATCCAACCCATCACCCGACCCGTCACCCGCTCCATCCACCCACCCGTTGACCCGCATATATATATATATATGTATATGTGTGTGTGTGTGTATATATATATATATATATGTATATATATATATATCTATTTAATAATATATAATAATAGTAGTTAATATTAATATAATTAATAGATTAATAGGTTAATAGATAGTTAGATATGTACTGTTAATAGATATGTATATGTAGCATATAAATATTATTGAAATACCTAAAGCCCTTAGCCCTAAATCCCTAATGGCATAATCCTATTCAGCACTTCAGCGCCATCAGCGAAGTTTTTGTTGTTATGTTTCAACGAATTCTTAATTTTGAGTTTTTATTTGTCAATGATTTCTCTTTATAATTTATTTATTTTGTCTCAAGTTTGACATTTGTATTCACCCGTTACTCACCTGATCCCCCCGCTAACCCGTCCACGATGGGTGGGTTGGATGTGAATGTAGTTTTTAATGGATGATGGACGGGTGGGTGGAGTATAAAATATTAACGGGTGGACGTGGATGAGCCTCCACCCGGTATACATCCGACCCGCTGCCACCCCTAGTTCCCACTTTGATTTTGACTTTTGAGTAAAAGTTTTTTAACTTTGAACATTAATTGCTCAAACATTATATCATAATGTTTGAACATTACTCTTGAACAACTTGCTTTAATATATGTTACTTCATTCATCTCATTTCAAGGTTCTTCAATTTACGATGTTCAACTAATAGTAAAGTAAATCGATGTTTGACTTATAATAAAATTAACCCCTCCCATTTATTGTACATCTTAGTATTAAAATATTAACAATTAAAATCTACATATTTAGAATCTACACTAGAAGTTCTATCTGATGATCCAGTCGCAAAGTTCATTACTCTGTTTCAACATTATGACAGGTATGTGTCGATGCCATTGTGAATACTGTGAATGATGATGAAAGGATCTCTCAACTTAGGGATAATCTTGTCAAGAACTTTCGAACAAAATGCTTATGGGAATTCACTTGGGATTGAAGTGGCCTTGTCAAAAGCTGAAAGATTGCACAATACTTTCTCCCAAAAAAATTGTCAAAAGCATTTGCAGCAAGTTCCTCCAAATATATCATTTGTGAAGATCACTATGAAGAAAAGCATTTGTGCTATCTAGTTAGTATAACTGCCAATGGCTCATGGCAGCCATTGAAATAAGCAAAGCGGGCAGATGCTATTTTGGCAACATGGGAAAAGGTATTAGTATAATCCCGATCAAACGAGCTTTGAGTTGGTCAACCTTCCAATCAGGTCCAACTTTCAACGTATAAAACCCACCTACCCACGTGTAACTAACAGTATACATACTTGGAGGAAGAGAAACTGTCTTCTAAGACCATTAGACTGCAAAACCTCCATTTCAATATGATCTGCCTCAGTGATCACTGGTTGTTTGTCAAGATTTATGTGATTATGCTGACAAATTCCATGGCGTTGGAGAATTTGGCATTCATTTCTGAAGAGCTTCCGTCTATTGTTCTCAAAGCTAATACTAAGTTTGTTAAGGTTGCAAGTATAGGGCCTTGTCCACAGACATGAAAGTATCACCATAAGGTCGTGGCATCCAAAAACCCTTATACTGACCAGTGATGGAGAAGAAGATGTGGCGCATCCTTGTCAAAGTCTGCTGGGTTTTGTTTACTGATCAAAATCAGTATATCTGGAATGATTACATACTAATAATGATGCATCACTTAGAAGAATTTGAATACTAACCCAATGAAGACACAAGATCCTAACGCAACTCCATTACAAAAGATTATGATGTAAAGGAGATATATATGAACTAAGGAACCATGCATGGTTCAGTCACTCCATGGATCTAGTGATCTACGCTGATACTAGCACACTACCTGCTAAAAATTGAGCCTGCCGCAAACGAGTCCATAACAGTGAGCTTGTATTGTTGAAGCATTTTTTCAATTGTTTAAATTTTTCATAATGGGATCAAAGAATCTCATATGTGACAATTAAGTAGCGCCGTATATAGCATTAAATGATGTTGTCCGTGAGAGAATAAAAATATAGCAAGATTGATCGTTATTTTGATTGAGGTCAGGCAGCTTCAGGGTATAATAACCTTTATGTGTACTCAAATGATAATTTGGCATATATATTACATTATACTAAAACTTTAAGAGTCTAAGAGGTCAAGGGGTTGAGTATACAATATTTCAAGCAGACTTGGTGCATATGAGATACAATTGCACGTGCTCCAGCTTGAGGGAGAGAGTTGAGAATAAAAAAGTTAAATAATTGATCAGACATTGACTACAAGCTTAATCTTTTCCCTCTCGTCTTCTCCAAATAGGATCTATGTAGTACTAACTACTAATATAATAGTAATAAGTATGTTTTTATGGATTAATAGTCTAATATACTCTTAAACCTATTTAGAATTATATCACCCCCTTCATCCCCTTCTCTCTCTCTCTCTCGAGCATTATGGCTCCCAACTGATGCCGACGCAAAAGAGTCACTAGCATCCTCCTACAGAAGTTGATGCATGTTACCTGGCGTGTTGTTGCCGTGGGTGGTCGGATAGTTGAAGGCTTAAAGCCAATGCCAATGTTCTCTGTTGTTTGTTCATTCCATATCCGGTGTTTGCTGCCTAAGAGATGCTCTTTGATGTAATGTTATAGCTGGCGGTCTGGGCAGTGGGTTGAAGAAGTTCATGTTTGTTGTTATTTTCTGTTTTCGGATCATTGTCTGTTTCTCCCAGATCTACTCTTTTTGTATGCATCCACTGCAGGAGTGCAGGGGTTGGCTAATGATGCCTGGTTGCTAATCTGCTATCGATAGATCTTTGGTGGTTCATTTCCTTTTCACGATTGTGAAGGCAAAATCAATGACTATGGCACCACAGTCGGGGCAGTAGAGAGTGATGCTGGCTGGAGACATTGGGAAATGGACAGTAAAGGAGGAGGCGATGGTGCGCAATGGCATCAGAGGCGGTTGGCTGTGGGCGGTGGGCCATGGGTCAAGTGGGCAGTGGTCTTTTTGGATTGGGAGATTTTGGTTGAGATAATTATTCTAGTCATTCTAAGATTAATAGGTTTTTGTAATCATATTTAGGAAAAAAAACTATCTTTAAATCACATCATGTTTAAAACAAGCTACGGAATAATAAGTGTTAGGCACTAGTGCAGTACTCCCAATGAAAGCTACTTTAGGTTTAAGTTAGATCCAGCTTTATTTTTGACAATATATTCCCAATTTTTTTACTTGCACCAATTCATTGCCAATATGATTACTGAACCCACCAGGGAGATTTTTTAAAGTGAATTATACTTGAAGTGCTTTCCTTTTAAAAAAAAAATCCAAAAGCATGCTAAAAGCAAATGCTTATATAATTTGTGATGGATCATGGATGGAGTATGTTTAGACACTCTACTTCATATATAAAAGATTGTGAATTGTGTGATTGCACTAAAAGAGAAATTTACTACACTGCCTCTACATAAATGTCTGATATGACCAAGTGTACCTTGAGGTAGTGCAACTGAAGCACTATCTAGACACAACTTTATACTAAGAAATAAGGTACCTCAAATCCAGACATATCATATTGCCTCCTTTTCTCAGGATCCGATAAAATGTTATATGAATATGCGACCTCCTTGAAATGCTCTGAAGCTTCAGGGTTACTAGCATTCTTGTCGGGATGATACCTGCAACCATTATCAGACAATACCTAATTCCTTGTATGCGTGGTTGTATGGCTGTGATTCAATCAACAAGCACATTTATTTCAGGACATAGGAGGCAAGACAAACTAAAACACTAAAAAATAAAAGCAGCTCCAGAAACTATGAAAACATGATGACTCCAAATCCAACTAAATTGGTATATATAGTACTTCCCATCCCCTGAAAAGGTAACATTGAGTCTACAAATTTACATTAAATCAATTGCTGCATATTCAAGAATTCTGAGCCTCAAGAATCACTTGAACATGCTACTCTCACTTCGAAACAAACTGAGATATATATTACTACCTCCGTCCCGTTAGAAGGTTCCCATAGCAAAACGGCACGGTTACTTAGGTGATAATTAAATAAAGTACTTTGAGTATATTTTGAGAAATAATTTTAATAGGTATATATTATAATGTAGTTAGTATTGATAATCGTGATGTTATAAATGTATTATTTTTAATATTTAATTAGTACTCCCTCCGTCCCAAAATGGTTGGCCAAATTTCCTTTTTTGGGCGTCCCATAAAGGTTTTCCATAAAGGTTGGCCAAATTTACTTTAAATGGGAGTACTTTAAAGTTCCATTTAAAGTAAGGAATATGTGACTATAAAACAAACCTATCTATAAAGGTTTCAGCCAAGTGATGATTTCATGAAAGAAAAACCACGGAATGGCGGGACGGAGCAAGAATCCCTAAACTCCTTCGGTTCACTATATCTGCTTATATTTATTATGCACAAATTTCAACCACACAGTTTTTACTTTATTAATCCACGTGCAAGTCAACATTGGCCAACGATTTTGGGACGGAGGGAGTATTTGATAAATGTATTAATTTGTCACTTAAGATTGTTAATTGTTTCCTAAAATGGGGTACAGCCGGGGATGTTTTAGTAGGTAAATTAACACCTCACGTGGTGAAAGAATCGTCGTATGCACCGGAAGTGAGAACCTTCTAATGGGACGTCCAAAAAAGGAAAGTGGGAACCTTCTAACAGGACGGAGGGAGTAGTATCTGACAAGCAATTTAGAATGTTTCATTCAAAACCATATGTTCCATAGTTCATAAATAACAATTTAGCTTTCAACAGTATCTAATTCCCGATTACTAGCATCAATACTATCAATAAAACTTCAAATTATACAGGGAAGTTTCAGCTTAAATATTTTGGTCAGTGGGCTAGAAATTCTTGCCAACCAATACAATTAACTATAATCCACATAAAATATATAGGCTGAAGAAAACACAGGAAGTACTTACTTGAGGGCAAGTTTCCTATAAGCAGCCTTAATTTCCTGATCAGAAGAATCCCTTGAAACACACAACACCTCGTAGGGGTCTCTCCTAAGAGCAGGTGTTGATGTCCCCTCCAATTTCGAACTGCCCATCTGAAGTTCAGCGTCCCTATAAAACCCTTCCCTTTAAAAACACAATTCTCAAGCACCTAAACAGAGTCTACAAAACTCTTTCTTTCCTGCAAAACTTCAAGCGCAGAGAACTTTATCAAGATTTGTCTCGAAATTCAGAGCATTGATAGTGCTTATTTCATATTGGGATTAATACAAATCATCATAATCATGACCAGCCCTTAGTCCCAACTCAATTCATTGATGCTAATCATTGAATAGATCAATGGATTGTCGAATTTCAAGAAAACTGAGACGGCTAAGATCTAACAAAAAGATGCAAACAGATATGTAGGGTTAAAAGGAGAAACACAGAGAAACGAGGCTGACCCTTTCCTTCACTTCATGCCTCGGCAAGGAGCAGTCTTTGTTTGATATGAAAAATCAGCTGCTCAGCGCACACAAAGAAATCTTGAAAGAGCGTCAAACTTTGGGCATTGAAAAAACAATTAACGACAAATTACACGAAAACAGGATTAAAAAGTCATTATACCAGGCAAGGCCAAAATAATGCTCCAAAATCTTGTGTGCTGCCCACATTTGATACTCATTCTTACGCAGCATTACATATGTATTGTCATGAACTATTTTAACACCTCAATTTAAAAAAAAATTACAATATACACTTTTTATAATTGATAAATGAAATATGCTCATTTAGGCTATGTTTGGCACGCATAAGTCCCTGCATTCTTTTGTATTGTTCAAAAAGTTTTTTAAAAGCTTCTAGTTGTATCTTTTGGCGTAGCGTTTTTAAAAGTTTTTCAAAAATTAAAATATCTTTTTTAAGATGTTATGGGGAGTAGCACCTGAGAAAAACTCGTGACTTTTAGGCTATGTTTGGCAAGGCTCTAGCTTCTAACATCTTTATTTTTTTAAAAAGACCTTAAAAGACTCTAGTTGTATATTTGGCATGACATTTTTAAGAGCTTTTAAAAAATTAAAAGATCTTTTTTGAGATGCTACCGGGTGTAGCATCTGAGAAAAGCTCGTGACTTTTAGTATTAATTAGTCCTAACAGCTTGTATACCAAACCGAACTAAATCAAACAATTAGCTTTTTACCAAACAGCTATCACCTTTTCTTTTTAAGATCTTTTCAGTCATTAAAAGCTAACAGTTACTAAAAACTCGTAAAAGTATCTTTTTAGCTATTTGTGCCAAACATACTCTTAGTACTAATGAATCCTAACAGCTTGTATCTTTTCATCAAACAACTATCACCTTTTCTTTTTAAGATCTTTTCAGTCACTAAAAGTTAACAGTTATTAAAAAAACTCACAAAAGTACCTTTTAAGCTGGTTGTGTCAAACATACCCTTAGATTAAATTAGATTAGATTAGATTACATAAATCAACCTTATGGGAAATAGAAGCTTAAACAAGATACTACGGGTATATGATATGGGAAGATCTCCGAAATTGAAGAAAACATTGGAGAGCTTTAAAAATAGGATTGTGGTGATTTTATTCCTTAAATAGGAGTAATTATTGCAAAGTTTGGAAAATACTGACATGTTTAAAGTCTGGTGATGTCAAGCATGTTAGTAATTACTCATATTCGAGAATAAAAACATGGCAATCATATTTTATAATACAAAAATGTTTTTATTCCTATTTTAGGGCAATTTCTCATGGGGATGTGGCCCTAAGGGGATGTGGCAGTGGCGGAGGGCCTAGGCCCAATAAAAGTGTAAACAATTTACTGACTTAGGCTCGATCATGAGGTTTTGTATTAAGAGTGAATGGACTGAGTTTTTGGGATATATCCACTAATTTTATGCGGCCCAAAAAAAGAGTTATGAATGTGTAAGCAATTTTAAATAAAAGACGGAACTCTTTGTATAGGCCTTCACTCCTTCAAAGTTCAAACCTCAATGTTTCAATCGTTCATTATAAACTGCTACTAGTCAATAGTCAATAGACCATAGATAGTGAATACATAAATTCTTCTTCGTGCCTTTTGTTCTTCCTAACCCGAACATAAGAATCTAACTTCAAATTACCTCGAGTCCTCTACATCTCTTATTACTCTTATGTACTTTATATTTTGCATTTAGGGTCTTACATATTTCATGATAAGTAATCATAACTTTTCACCCTTTTTAGTTTTCATTGAATTTACATTTTCATTGATTAGTCATCTAATTGTTGACTTTTTTTTTTGAAAATCAAATAACCATTTTTATTGATAATCAGTTCTTAACAAGAAACATAACAACTAAAAGCCGAAGCATAACAATCATAGCGTTCGATACTACACTAGGGTGAAACAAAGAACAAAAACGTCATATAAAAGCATTCATGTTCGCTAACCCTGCAACAATGTAGACTCGTACCGCATTGTGTCTGCTCATGCTACTCGAAATGGGTTCGGTTTGACTAGCCACCGAAAAGGAATTATTGAACTTGCCGTTTTTTCCAGCCACCGGTAAGGAGCCAAGTGCAGAAATTGTTCCGGTTTGACCATCCACCGGAAAGAAAGCAATTCATCCAATGCCATCTTCCTGGATCGGTGGTGGTTCAGGAGGGGGGCGATCGATATCTATATCGATGCAGAAAAAATCATGATTCATGATTGATAACGAAGCCAATACAAACCTCTTACTAGCACACAAGAACACCCAACCAATGATGGCGGGGAATATAGATCTGGCGAGCGACGCTTCGCCACCAAAAATAATATCTCTAGACAACGCTAGGAAATAAACGTATAGATAGAACTGAAAATACTAATTAAACGAATCTAATTGTTGACTTATTGGTCATGAAACCGCGAATTCAGATTTATACTTCTTCCGTCCTAAATTGAGTTGCAATTTGTGAATTTTAAGGTTGACTAATTCAGATTTATTGGTTGAATTTTAAAATTAAATCATATCGTGATACTTTAAAATTTCTTCAGTAAATAAATTTGAATTTTCAATAAATTTATAAGTATAATTAATTTAAAGTTGTAAAATAAATGTTCTCTTACCGTGATGTTACTTATTTAATACGGAAAATTATAAAAACCTTTTCTTTATTATTACAATTTTTGAAGGATTATTGTCATGCCTTAGATGAGATAAAAATGTTTTTTTCTAAAATTAGGTTCATTATAAATTATTTGCCCCTAGATCTTGAGACTATCAAGGCCGCCCCTGATGATCATTCATGAGTCTAGACTGGGTGCTAGTCGAGATTTGAACTCGAGGTTAATTTAGATCAAGCTGTACACGCTTGATAAGAGAACAATGAAACTTGAGGCGAGTTTCAGCCGAGTCGGACAATATATACAGTCTTTGAGTAATTGAGTTCATGTTCAAGTCGAGCTTGAGTTTTACATACTCTAAAGAATGGTGTGTTTTAAAACAAGCAATTTGATTTGTTATCACGTTTAAACGCATAGATGCAACCATCAATGCTTTTTAAAACATGAAATCAATACTATAAAATTCTTTACATAGTTGTCGCTTAAAATGTTTACCGCCTATGATTTATTTAAACTTGAGATGAATCAAGTCTGATTAATCCCGCATAGGTAGGAGAAACTCACATGGAAAATCTTTTTGTATAAAGTTTGAAAAGATGAAATTATAGAGTGCTCCATCATGGAACGTTGAAGCAGAGTAACACTTTTAGAACAAAATGTAGATCTCTAATAATTTTCAATAGAAAATATTTATTGTTTTGATGTATTAGGCTGCCGCAATCCCAAAATTGAAAAGCCTAATTTGAGGGTTTGACTCTCAAATTTGTAGCAACCCATGTATTTCTGGGTGCCAAAGTGGCTACATAGCACCCATTGGGGTGAATTTTGATGGGCTTATTCACCGTGAAGAAATGAAGACGCAACATGCATGCCCTCGTGTGCCATGTTATTTTAGAAGTGTGGGTCCTGCAACATTAAAAATCCCAAATTTCTTTGGTGTTTTTTTTTCTTTGGTGTATTTTTACCTTTTAATTTTTATTCCAAATTTTATAAAAAATATATTAAAATTCATATTTTTTATAACCTTTCATATGACATCAATAAAGCATACATAAAAATTATACAAAAAAATTGAAATTTCATGTGCTGAAGATTTTTATGTTCAGAATCTTTATCAAGTACATCAAAGTGCTAAAATAAAGATCTTATGGTTAAAATACTTTTTTTCATCTTTAAGATAGTTTTTTTCAAAATTTTGCTCTAAATTAACGAAAATAAGATTAAATTCCAAATCAATTTATTTTTACATCGCAATGTTTGACTTTTAAAATCATAATCATTCACAAAAAAAAAAATTTGGCAAAAAATTGATGTATAATAATGAAATGAAGCCTTTACGTAAGAAAAACTTTGATGGGTGAATATATTGACGGTGCTGGGTTGCAGTAAAAATTGAATTGACACGGTGAATACGTATAAAGTGGTGAGAAATTTGATTTATTGACGGAGGTGGATTGCGGTTAGCCTTATGGATCCATACTATTGATATATAATGTAGTACTTCAAATAACTATTTTAATAGTTATTTGGAGTATTATTCCTCCACAAAGCGACAAGAAATAATAATAATAATTATTATTATTATTATTATTATTATTTTATTATTAGGAGACTATATATATATATATATATATATATATACACACACACACGATAGTATATACAAGTAGTCAAGAACGAGTTTCCTCATCCAATTGATACTCCGCTATGTAGCACGGAAACTCTCGGGAAAGAGTACGTTTCCCGTTTCGAAAACTCCGGGAAACTCTTCGGAAACTCTCCATATAAACGTTTTTTGAGCAAAAGTTGACGTTTCTCGTTTCCTGTTTCCTCATCATTTTCGCGGTTCCGTGAAATGTAGATACTCCTTATTTTTTGGGGGAATTGGACATTGCACCCCACTTTATAGGACAAATTTGACTTTGCACCCTATTCTGAAAAACATTTGTTTTTGCACCCTCTCCGTTACACGTCTGTTTAACACCGCTAGATATATTTCGAAAATACTATAATGCCCTTATCAAAAGAATAGTTTACCGTCATCATTCTCAGCAACGTACGTAGAGTGAAATAGGGTTTTGATAACCGAAGAGATATTTCTGGATAGAGAGGACTTCCAAGAAATTGCATGTGAAGAGAAAGATTGACTATTTGCCAGATGCTATTAAGTTATTCGACACTCTTATTGTCAATTAGGAAAAGATTGCAACAGGAGAAATTTTTGGTCTCATTAGTTCGAACTGTTTTTTTGTTGGAATTTCCCATCCCCCTCCTCCTTTTTTTTGGTCTTGGGTTGCTGGTGGCATGAGTTAAGAGAAGTAAGCCCCTCTTTTTTAATCTGTTGCGCATGAGTCGTCATTCAACTTTAAAATTCAACTCCCGGACTTAAAGTGCACTTTAGTGTAACATCAATTTTAAAATTCGTCCCTTCAGAATAGTAAACACACAAGTTTGAAACAACTGGCCTTGTTAAAAGTTTCTGATACAGATTGTAATAAACAAAAGAACTGCAATAATTAATCAATTTGTGATAGCTGGCTATGAACAGACTCTCTTTTACTAATTGGAACAAGTTCTTAATATTGGATTTGGATATGTCATTTCAGTGAGGGTAACATCTCCAGAAAATAGCATTGCTCAGCCACTTACTAATGATGACTTTGCTGATATATATATTGAATTACCTCCATTGGCTCACTCTGCAAATGCAAAAACTCTTCATGATGCATTCAAATATAATCAAGGTATATTAATTAAATGTGGTATACTTAGTTTGTATTTGGTTATTCAGATTTGTTAGTAATAAATCTACTCTATTTAGACAATTCATGATGAACTAGATGACAATTGTTTTTTTTTTTACTAAATGTGATTCTTGTTATTCATTTTCCTTAGTGTTAAGGCTTACAAATCATCTTATGGATCGAATGTCAAGCCAATTTCACATGAAAGTGATTGGCCAGAGGCAAGGTTACTCATCATATTAAGGGAATGTATTCAGAATGTGGACCTGGAAATTATATGACATTGCCTTTATTATGTGCAGAGAAATGAATTTGTATTGCCGCCTACACTTTCAAGGGCACCTGGAAGGCCTAAACACAACAGAATAAAGGGCCACGATGAGAATGAAACTCAACCCAAGAATATGAAAAGGTGCAATAAATGCCTATCTTTTGGCCACAACAAGAGGTCGTGTCAAGGAGGTCCAATAAGAGGTGGCACCAGTACTAGTAGTGGTGCTACAAGTTTTGGAAGGTCTTCTGCCAGAGGAAGAGGACAGGTTGCTGGAAGAGCAGTTGGAAGGGTTACTGGAAGAGGTGTTGGAAGGGTTACCGGAAGAGGTGTTGGAAGGGTTACTGGAAGAGGAGTTGGCAGGGGTGCTGGAAGGGCTACCGGAAGAGAAAGTGGTGCTTCATAGGTGAATTTAATGGTGCTTTTTGACCTACTCTAGCTGGGGTGTTTTTGTCATACTAAAATCACCCTAGTACATGCAGTTTATTAAACACAACTGCAATATTTTTGCTCACTGTAAAGATGAATGGTTTATGCTTCTAGTAGTATTTTTGCTCACTGTAAAATCTTAACTTTGGAGCTCACTATATTTTGCTAGGATTAGTCATAGCTCTGTATTTTTGCTAGAATTAGAGAAAAGATAACTATAAGTTTGTACTTTCACTGTGTTTGCTCAATCTACAATGATATATAACACTTCTCTCAAGTAGATTATTATATTGATTTTTTTTGCTCATAAGCTCAATAACATCACATACTTATCCCTCATAGGTCACTTTTTTCCCTAGTCTTCTATTGTCACTTTAACGGTACCATTGGGACTTTTGTTGCTTGTTGCACTTTCAATCATAAGTCTTGATTTGTCAGCTTCTTGTTTTATAGTAGTTCATTTTTGCAGGTTTTAGTTGTGTCAGTTTCTTGTTTTATAGCAGTTCATTTTTGCAGGTTTTAGTTGTGTCAGCTTCTTCTTTTTTAGTGCAGATTTTTGGTGGTTTTAGCTTTTATTTTGATGATATAAATGAGATGTGTATGTATGAATAAGGGTCCCTTGACCACTTTGCTTGTGCAGGATGATCTTTTCATTTTTTGTTTTGGTGCTGAGTTATTGATAGTTTTTTTTTTCTTTTGAAAACAATTTGTTAGTGCATTAGTAACTTGCTGCATTTTCTCCAGGTGATGAACTAGAAAGTTTGTTGTCTCTAAGTGCATTAGTAATAATTCATTTTTCGATGCTTTGAACCAAGCAAGCACGAGCTTAGCAATAACTAACTATGCTCTACGGGTGAGAAACGTGAACAAGAAAGTTTCTCCAGGTCACCTTGCTCCAGTAGCATGCTAGAGAAAGACTTTGTACGAGTGTTGTAAAGTATCACCTTTCTCCAGGGCATTGTTGTCTTTTTAAAACTTCTTTAACTCCAACTAACAGACTGTTTAGTGTTAGGGTGCAAAAACAAATGTTTTTCATAACAGGGTGTAAAGTCGAATTTGTTCTATAAAGTGGGGTGCAATGTCCAATTCCCCTTATTTGTTTGGAACAAGGAGACTATCTATATACGAAGTACTACCTCCGTTCTCTAAGTTTGGGACAAAGGGGTGTAGTGTTGTTTTTAAGAAAAAGTAGAATTGTGTGGTTGATATTGATTTGATAAAGTGTGAATAAAGTAAGAATGAATTCTAACCACTCAAATATTAACAAATAGACCGAAGGGGGAAGCGGCGTTAGGGTTTTCGTTCCATCCCATTGGCTAGGGTTTCGTATTTCTATCAGCAATTCACGCCGTCTCAGCTAAGCTTTCGTATATCTATCGGCAACCATGGCTACTGCATCTGTGGCATTCAAATCCAGGGAGGACCATAGGAAACAGTTAGAATTGGAAGAAGCGCGAAAGATTGGGCTTGCTCCCGCCGAGGTTGATGAAGATGGAAACGAAATTAACCCTCACATTCCACAGTACATGTCCTCAGCACCTTGGTACCTCAATGCCGAGAAACCTAGCTTGAAGCATCAAAGGAAGTGGAAATCTGATCCGAATTATACCAAATCATGGTATGACAGAGGTGCCAAGATATAACAGGCCTACAAGTACATAAAGGTGCATGTGAAAATTGTGGAGCAGCTACGCACACTGTTAAATCGTGTATGGAAAGGCCTCGTAAGTTAGGAGCAAAGTGGACAGGGAAAAGCATTGCACCGGATGAGAAAATAGAGAACTTTGAGCTAGACTATGATGGCAAAAGGGACCGCTGGAATGGGTTTGATGCTGCATCCTTTGTCCATGTTATTGAAAGGTATGAAGCCAGGGATGAAGCTAGAAAGAGATATGTCACGCCCCGGACCTACCCGGACACGTCAACAATTCGCCGTACAGTACAAATGGTCAACCACAGTCCGACACATCCATACTATACAAGGCGTCTGGAATATCATTCACACGTAGTACATCCATAAACAAACATAATGTAAAATATTCATTCAAGCAGCGGAAACATTTAATATAAGTGTTTATGCCACACTTTGGCAACCATGGGCATACAAGCCCCCAAACAAACATTTAAAAATAGTATCCATGAGCATTGTTCAAAATGTTTTCAAAACAGGAACGGAAGAAGCACGAACCACGTCTCCCTCCTTTGATCTTCCCGAAACAACGGCCGGTGGTAGCAACCTTCAAGTTCTACCTGAAACTGTGAGGTGGCCTCCCCCGTGAAGGGGAGGTCAGTACTTGGAAGCATTTGACAAGTACAATGACAACTATACTAAGTATAATCAATGTTTCAATTTCCAAGACCCTCAATTTAGGGTGTTATTATCTCATGATTAACTTTGTTCGTTTAGTGTCATTTCATCATTTATTACCACGGTCTAGAGCCCAGCTCAATAATCACCGTTACCTACTACGGTCTAGAGCCCAGCTCAATAATCACCGTCATCTACATCGGTCTAGAGCCCAGCTCAATAATCACCGATAACTACTACGGTCTAGAGCCCAGCTCAATAATCACCGTTATCTACATCGGTCTAGAGCCCAGCTCAATAATCACCGATAACTATCACGGTCTAGAGCCCAGCTCAATAATCACCGTTATCTACATCGGTCTAGAGCCCAGCTCAATAATCACCGATTCTTTACAATTAAATTTCTTAGGATCCATTCATCCATTATTCAACTACAATCCCAACTAATATTTCAATACTAGTTATTTACTCATTTTAATGTAATTCTTCATTCAATATGTAGTTTGACCTTAATATCAAAATATCACTTTTATTCTTTCATGGCTTCTTCTCATGAATTAAAAAAGCATACTTATCACAAATGAAATTTATGGTTGATACTACTATCATGCCATCATATTCATAACATATAAACATACACAATTTATTCAATAAATTTGTATGTTATGCAAACTATACTTATAATCAATAGTAATTTCATTTAGACATTAATAACCATTAATAATTCATGCAAATCACATTGTGTATTCATTTAGGAAATCTTATGAAATTAACCCAAAGATTATAAGCAATATAGTCGGTCATCCTCACCTTAAGTGAGCTTAGGCGCGATCTACGTATCCCGATTGAACTTTGGCGAACTTTGACCAACTCCGGCCAACTTTGACCAACTCCGGCGAAACTCCGGCGAAGCTCAAAGATACTCTAAATCAAGTTCCTAACAAGGTTTTAACATCATAAAACCTTAATCAATACAAATAACCGCTAAAAGGTTATTTTCCGGTGAAGTTGTCGGTTTGGCTCCTAAGTCCGTTCTTGGACTTAGAACCACACTCCCACCCGTTATTCTACACTTTTATCATGTAGAACAATCCTAGAGGTTCTTCATAGGATAAATAATGATCATGATGAACAAATTTGGAAGAAAAGTCATTAAGAGCGTCTTACCTTTATTTTCAAGGATTTTACACTATTTCGCAACTCTTCCCTCTTCCTTGGTTTTCTTGCTCCCTTGAACTCCCTTCAACAATGGAGGAAGGCTGGAGATTTCTCTTGTTCTAGGCTGAGATGGGTTGGCCGAATGATTAAGGAAGGTAAGGGGTGGGTGTTTTCCTTTTTGTCTCAATAGTGAGAGTGGTGTGGGGGAGGGTCCACCTTGTTTTATTTGATGCCTTTTCCTTCACCTCACACATCTCCTATGCTCCCATATCACACCATCCGCCCCACCCCCTGATTTGGGTGACAAAAATATATGGGGTGGCCCCCATATATGTGGGTGGTCATCCCTCTAATTCCCGAACAGTACAATCGGCCCCGAAAGTTGTATTTTTCGGACTGTTTTAAATATATTTTATTTTATCGGTTCAAATAAAATATTTATGTGTTCTCCATCATCATGACCCTTATAATGAATATTCATTCCCCAACTTAAATTTATAAGTCCCCGAGATTCAATTTCGGGCATTTATCGGTTAAATTGCCAACGCCGGTATTTGGGCCTTTTTGATCAACCGGTCAACTCTATATTATTTCTTTGGACCAAATAAATTATCCACCACTATATAAATGTTATATTGACCAAGATGAATAAACTATACGGTCTCGGGAATATCGGGCGGCCCCCGTTCCCGGTGCGGGCCCCACGTGCGAATTTACTATTCACGCAAAAACATTAATAAAAATTCACAACTTCGAATACTCGTTAACCATTCCATAAGTTCAATACATTATTTACTTAAAAGTAAATACTTTTTGGGGACGGTGTTACAAGTTCACCCCCCCTTAATTGGGATTTCGTCCCCGAAATCCACGTGTCTAATCGAAAAGAAACGGGTATTGCTCCCTCATTGAGACCTCAGTCTCCCAGGTTTCTTCTTCGACTCGATCACTCCTCCAAAGGACCTTTACCATAGGAATCTCCTTGTTCCTCAGTTTCTTCACCTGTTGACCCACGATCTTTACCGGTTCCACCGCATATTGTAGATCTTCACGTATTTCCACCGGTGGCTTCTCAAGAATATGAGATGGATCTCTCACGTATTTCTTGAGCATCGATACATGAAACACGTCATGTATCTTCTCAAGTTCCGGCGTCAACTTGAGACGGTATGCCACAGCCCCTATCCTTTCAAGGATTTCAAATGGACCAATGTATCGGGGGTTAAGCTTTCCTCTAGATATAAATCGGATGATGCCCTTCCAAGGAGAAATCCTTAGGAAGACCTTATCACCAACCCCGAACTCCAATGGCCTGCGTCGTTTGTCGGCATAACTCTTCTGCCGATCTTGGGCAGCCTTAAGTCTATCCTGAATGACCTTCACCTTAGCCTTGGTGATTTCAACAAGTTCAATTCCTTCGAGCTTGGCCTCGCCAACCTCGTCCCAACACAACGGTGTCCTGCATTTCCTCCCATACAATGCCTCGTATGGAGGCATGCCAATACTCGCCTGATAACTGTTGTTATAGGCAAACTCAACTAGAGCCAAATGCTTGTCCCAACTTCCTTGGAACTCCAAAGCACATGCCCTAAGCATATCTTCCAGGATCTGTATCACTCTCTCAGATTGTCCATCCGTCTGCGGATGAAAAGCTGTGCTAAACTTCAATTTAGTACCCAAAGATGCTTGAAACTTAGGCCAAAACCGAGATGTGAATCGTGGATCCCTATCCGAGACAATGGATATCGGGACTCCATGTAGTCTCACAATCTCCTCCGTGTATAGCTTTGCCAATCTTTCAAGAGGATAAGTAATGTTGATAGGCAAAAAGTGTGCACTCTTGGTGAGCCTATCAACCACTACCCATACTGCGTCGTAGTTGTTCACTGTTCGTGGTAGCCCCACCACGAAGTCCATGGTCACGTGTTCCCACTTCCATTCCGGAATGGTCAGTGGCTGCAAAAGCCCCGCCGGGTGCTGATGCTCTGCCTTAACTTGTTGGCAAGTAAGGCATCGACTCACGTACTCTGCGATGTCTCTCTTCATTCCCGACCACCAGTAACTTTCCTTCAGGTCTCGGTACATTTTAGTACCTCCTGGATGCATAACATATGCTGAAGAATGAGCCTCCTCTAGTATGGACTTTTGGAGCTCCTCACTCTTTGGTATGCATACACGGTCTTTAAACAGTAAAAGACCGTCATCACGTACCCGAAAGTTCTCCACGGGCCCTTCAAGGACCCTCTCGCGGATCTTCTGGCATTCTTCATCAGTGGCCTGACATCTACTGATCTCACTCAGCAATGTAGGCCTAACCTCGAATCTAGCAATGAGGACCCCACTCATGGACACCTCCACTTGTGCCCTCAAAGTTCGTAGACATGTGAGTAATGTCCCCGACGTACCCTTCCTGCTCAGTGCATCGGCCACTACATTGGCCTTTCCGGGATGATAGTCGATGATCAAGTCATAGTCCTTGATCAACTCCATCCATCTCCTTTGCCTCATATTCAACTCCTTCTGTGTGAACACATACTTGAGGCTCTTATGATCGGTGAAAATGTGACATGTCTCTCCATAGAGATAATGTCTCCAAATCTTTAGTGCAAACACTACCGCCCCCAACTCCAGATCATGGGTAGGGTAGTTCGCCTCGTGTTTCTTCAATTGCCTAGAAGCATAGGCAATCACCCGACCGTTCTGCATGAGTACACATCCAAGCCCTTGGATGCTAGCATCACTGTATATGTCATACCCTATCCCTTGTGTGGGTAGAGCGAGAACCGGTGCTTCTGTAAGCCGTTTCTTTAGTTCAAGAAAGCCTTTCTCACAATTGTCGTCCCATATGAACTTGGCCCCTTTCTTCGTGAGCTTTGTTAATGGAGATGCTAATACAGAAAATTTTTCAACAAATTTACGATAGTACCCCGCTAAGCCAAGGAAACTACGTATCTCTTTCACATTTTTGGGTCTCTCCCAATTCATAATAGCTTCTATCTTGGCTTTATCCACCGAAATGCCCGAACTTGACACGACATGCCCGAGAAACCCAATCTCTTTGAGCCAAAACTCGCATTTAGAGAACTTGGCAAAGAGTTGTTTTTCCCTTAGTCGTTCAAGTACAAGACTCAAATGATCTTCATGCTCCTCTTCACTCTTGGAGTATATCAAAATGTCGTCAATGAATACTATCACAAATTGATCTAAGTATTCACTGAACACACGGTTCATCATGTCCATGAATGCCGCCGGTGCGTTGGTTAGACCAAACGACATCACCAAAAACTCGTAGTGACCATATCTAGTGCGAAAAGCACTCTTGGGTATGTCACTCTCCTTTATCTTCAGCTGATGATACCCCGACCTTAAATCAATCTTCGAGAATACTGTTGCCCCTCGAAGTTGATCGAACAAGTCATCAATCCTCGGTAAAGGGTACCTGTTCTTGATTGTGACCTTGTTTAGCTGTCGATAGTCTATACACATTCTTAGTGTACCATCTTTCTTCTTTACGAAGAGTACGGGTGCTCCCCACGGTGAATGGCTGGGTCTAATGAACCCGTTGTCCAATAGCTCCTGAAGTTGAACCTTCAACTCTTGAAGCTCGGCCGGTGCCATTCGATAAGGAGGAATCGAAATGGGTTTGGTTCCCGGCTCCACTTCAATCACAAATTCGACCTCTCTGTCGGGTGGAAGCCCCGGCAAGTCTTTGGGAAAGACATCCGGATATTTGCACACGACACGTACATCGTTGATGTCAACCTCCCTTTTTGCTTCATCCACCACATAAGCAAGGTATGCATGGTATCCCTTCTTCATCATCTTCCGTGCCCTCATCACGGATATTATACAACTATGAGATCCTCCCCGATCTCCCTCGAAACGTAGGGTGTTTCCCTCGGCACCCTCGAGTTCCAAAACCTTGGCATAACAATCCACCCGAGCATGATGTTTCTCGAGCCAATCCATCCCTAGAATTGCATCGAATTCTAACATACTTAGAGGTACGAAGTCGCAAGTCAAAGGTTGACCCGTCACTTCTACCTCACACGAAGGATAGTAGTGTTTCCTCTCCACATCGTCTCCCAACGGTGTAGAGACCAACAAGGGTTGCGTCATTTCTATCAACGGCACGTCTAAACTTTCGGCAAACGCTTCACTCACGAATGAACGTTGTGCCCCGGTATCAATGAGAATTCTTGCGTTTCTACCATTGATCTTTAATGTTCCTACATATATAAGTCATGTAAGACACACTAGTCGACGTACCGGATCGAAACGGGGCTTAACGAAAATTTTTCGGGTAAAAATACACTGGACCGACGCCGGTTCTAGGCAAGACCGGCGCCGGTTTGCCTTCGGAGTGGCCGGATACACATAAATTGAACTGGACCGGCGCCGGTTCTGGCCAAAACCGGCGCCGGTTCACCTTCGGCAACATCGGAAAATTCAAAACCGGCCCCGGTTGCGAGCACGGTGATTTTCCGACCTCTTTTTTCCCCTGGACCGGCGCCGGTTATGGCCAAAACCGGCGCCGGTTTTGCTACGGCGTCTCCCGGAATTTGGTTTTCAATTCTTTTGAGTCACCCCGACCCTTGACCGGCGCCGGTTATGGTCCAAAACCGGCGCCGGTTTACCCACGGCAACCCCAAACGGACGTTTTTAATTAGAACCGGCGCCGGTTTAAGCCACGACCGGCGCCGGTTTACCCCTGGGCAGTTTATTTTCGCAACTTTTTGCCAAGAAACCAACCGGTATCGGTCCCGGCGAGCCCGTACAAAACCGCTATCATTCTTAGCACTCAAGACATGTAATTTATCAATTGATACAAAGGATTACCTGCAACGGAGTCGGGATTAGCCCGAGCGTCGGCCTCGGTCATCGCATAGACCCGTGCTTGAGACCTCCCCTGATTCACGGATGGCGCGTTACTCGTGCTCGCTCCCCCTTGCCCCATACTAGCATGGGGTGCTCCGCTTCGGTTCCTACTTGCCGTGGTAGCGCCGCTTGATCCCACCCCTTGGTTCCCACCAAGTTGAGGGCAATTTGGTTTAATATGCCCCGTGTCCCCACATTGGTAGCACCGAGGAGGGTCACGACACTTACCACCATGGTTCCTGTTACAGTTCCTGCATCTAATCATCATTGGGGCTTGTGAGCCCGAGTTTTGTCCACCCGTGCCTGAGCTTCCCCTAGATGGCGGTGCCGGTGCCCTAAATGATCCTCCCCCCCCATGGTTCCCCTTTTTGTTAGAACCCTGGGGGCCATGGCTTTCCCACTTTCTTTTCTTCGCCTCCTCGGCGTCTCTCTTCTTTCTCTCCTCCCATTGCTTTTCTCCCTTCAACCCTTGGGCGACCACTTGGCTGAAAGTCATGTTGGGCAATTGAGTCGCCCTATCACGTATCTCCAGGTCCAAAGCCTCCCAAAAGTGGTTCACCATTCGGTTTTCATCACAAGCATACTCCGGTATGTGGTCGGCAAGGTCCCTGAACTTGTGCTCAAGTTCTTTCACCGTCATGTTACCCCCTTGGGTTAGAAGAGTGTATTCTCTCACCTTGGCATTTACCTCAAAGTCAGAGTAGTATTGGGCAAAGAATTCTTGCCGAAAAACCTCCCAAGTAACATTCCCTCCGTACTTGCCCTTGGTTCCATCCCACCACTTGGATGCCAACCCTT